AAACTCCACTCCTCTTTCGCTCCTCTTTTATTTCCTCTGGGAGGGGCCATTCACTGTCCAGCCTTACTCCCAAGTCGACCTCTGTCCTTTAGCCGTTTCCTTCGTCTGGCAACTCTGCGCATGCGCACACTGGGAACAGGCTCCAGCTGTTCGTCTGCCTCACTGATGTCTGACTCTGAAGGCAACTGATAACTGTCAAGACGGCTCTGGCCTCCTCTCTGCCTCCCACACAGAGCCCTCATCAGAGCCTCCCCCAGACTCCAGGACTGGCCCATCTTCCTCCCCAACCTCCTCCCTGTCCAAATAAGCTGCTAGCTCTTCTGGCCGCTGGCTAAGAAGACCAGATGAGCCGCCATGCAGGGCTGGATCATCTCCATAACCTCTGTTCTAATCAGATGGGGAAGGGTCTTCCAAATGGAATCAATGCAATACTGGAAATTATTTAAATGCAAGAAAGATCTCCGGGGAACGAGTGGACTGGATCCAGCTCTACAGGAGCCCCCCCTCCCGGTGGAGTTGCTGTTTGATTCCTGGGGCTGCTCCACAGGCAGTTGGCAAGCTTCCCTGGAGTATTCGTGGGAAGGGCCCACATTGGCCCTTGGGGAAACACCAAACTTCCAGGCAGAGCCAGGAAGGGGCCACAGGTTCACACCTCTGCAGCACACAACAGGCGGAGGGGGGGTGGAATTTGGGGAAAGAGAGAGAGAGAGAGAGAGAGAGGAAAAGAGAAGCCAGACCTCCCTGGTAACAAAATTTATTGTCATGATTGAAGACAAGATTTATAAACGTACTCTAGCAACTTGTTGATAAAATAGCAAGTATCCCAACTTTGTAGTTTATTGTCATTTGGAACAGAATGGGAAAACGAGGGAAGGGTTATGATGTCCGTGACATTTGGGCCTTCCGCACCACGGCCGGTCCAGAAGGTCAAAAACCGTGTGCCCAACACCGCCGGGGAGACCAGCATCCAAGATGAAAAAGAAGAAGAAGAGCAGTGGAAAGCAGTGCACGCATTTCAAAGCCCACAAAAACACCCACCACGGTTGAGGTCTCTTGAGGGAGAGAGCAGCTTCTCCTCTGGCCGTTACCCAAAGGGGGGGGGGGGAGCTCAGCGCACCAGCAGGCTGTGCTTGGGGCCGTCCACCCTTTCCAGCTTCTCAAAGTGTTTCCTGGCATTTCGGATGTTTATCAGCGTTGCTGCAGAAGCTGGAAGAGAAGAGGACCGAGGAGGTGAGGCCATCCGCGTGACCGGCCGGCCGGGCTCTTGTGAGAAGTGCGGTGGAGAGGCAGGAAGGGCGGGCTCCCCTCCAGCACAGCAAACAAACATTCCCCGGATTGCGACTGCCACGGGGGGAACTCCCCCCCAAAGGTCAGGCTGAGCAATACAACACAATAGCAGAGTTGGAAGGGACCTTGGAGGTCTTCTAGTCCAACCCCCTGCCTGGGCAGGAAACCCTATACCGTTTCAGTCAAATGGCTATCCAACACTTCCAGTGTTGGGGCATTCACAACTTCTGGAGGCAAGTTCTGTTCCACTGATTAATTGTAGTAACTGTCAGGAAATTTCTCCTTAGTCTTAAGTTGCTTCTCTCCTTGATTAGTTTCCACCCATTGCTTCTTGTTCTACCCTCAAGTGCCTTGGAGGATAGTTTGACTCCCTCTTCTTTGGGGCAACCCCTGAGATTCTGGAAGACTGCTATCATGTCTCGCCTAATCCTTCTTTTCATTAAACTAGACATCCCCAGTTCCTGCAACCGTTCTTCATATGTTTTAGTCCCCAGTCCCCTAATCATCAAACAGGAAGAACCCTGCTCATCAACTTACGTATGGAAGGGTCTGACATAACCACCATCACGTAGGTGTTTGATGTGAAGATGTCAATGAAATCCGCAAAGTTGGAATTCCTCACTTCCATGCTCTGGAAAGATGCAGCCAACTTACTGGGGGGGGGGGGAGAGAGAGAATGTTAATTGTTCTATCCTAAACAGGCTGCTTACTCTTCAGGCCGCCCTCCCCACATTGCTCTGATGACCCAGAGGCCTTTGCTTGTCCATGAACTCAAGTCTCACTCCAGTGAAATCTGTCAGTCAAGAACAACGGAGATGAAAAGGCCTAGATGAAGCTCCAGGACCCCCATGGGGGGTCAATGAGAACGGCAATGGACATCGGTGGTAAAAGCAATAGCAATAGCAGTTAGACTTATATACCGCTTCATAGGGCTTTCAGCCCTCTCTAAGCGGTTTACAGAGTCAGCATATTGCCCCCAACAACAATCCGAAGACCCGGATTGTT